GTGTGTGGGGCGAGCGTGCGCACACTCGCGTTCCTGTGAGTTCGTCCAAGGTTTACAGAGCGGATCATCAGTTTTGCACTCCGTGGTTCACACGTTTCATCTTCATTGCCATCCCCCTCGATGAAACACAACCCATCCCCACCACCACCACCGCCCTCGGCGTCCTGTTTCCCAACCCTCTGTCCCCGAGTCAGCGCTGCCCTTTTGACTCTGAATTGGTTGATGACACTCACACGGGGCGAGTTCAGTGCCAGACCCGAAGGAGGACTGCGGGCCCGAGTCTTGTGGGTCCCACCACCCTCTACCCAGCATCCTCTCTTCGTGAACTCCAGCACCCTGAGGCCTAGAAGCCCCCGTGGCTTCTGCCCCGCTGTCTTTTGGGGAGCTCGTTTGAGGGAAGCTGGATGCCAGGTAGGGAGGCTGCTCAGGAAGCCCTGTGGGGAGTCCTGACAGCCAAGAACACCAGTCTCGCGCCAACAGCCCTCCTTGAGGGCAGCCCCCTGCCCTCCGTCCGGCCTTCCGTCAACACCACACCAGTGTCATGGCTGTGGTAGCTCGAGATGCTTCCTGACGCTAAGGCGCACAGGTAGGCAGCTCCTGACTCCAGACCCACGGAACCGTGGTGAGGGATGTCTGGTGTGTCGCGCTGCTGATTTGGGGGGTAATTTTGCTGTGGAAAGAGGTGACCCCTTCGCTGGATCGATGTCGCTTTCTATGTTGTTCGGCATCGCTGAGCTGGTTGGTTGTATAATAAAGCGAAAGACCGTGTTCAGCCCCACACGGTCCTCACCACTGCGTGTGTCTGGCCAGATGCCAGGGTGGTGCCCGTGCACAGCAGCCCTCTGGGGCAGAGCAGAACTGCTCCTTCGAGCTTGTGAGACTGTCGATCCTGACAGCCTCCTTGTTCTCCCAGGACTGGCTGGGGGGCTCAAACTGCTGACCTTTCGGTTGGCAGCCTGGTCCTTAATCCAGGGCGCCTTATTAAAAATGGTAGGTTGCGAATTAGAAAACTAACCCACAAAAACAACAGTGGTGGCTCAGCGAGCAAGTGCTGGCCCTGGAGACCCGGGTTCAAAGCCCGGCCGGCCCACCTCATTCGGGGGCACCACGCACCCATCCGTGGAGTCCGGCGCGGGGCTGGAATGCGGATGAGGTTTCAGAGGTGTTTCCGGGATAAGGAGGACTAGGGAGAAAGGCCTCGTCGTGATCAACTTCCCAAAGAAGAAGGACTGCCAGCTCAGCTCCGAAAGGGGACCCAGGAATGCTGCCCCTCCCGGGCACACGGGAGCAGCACCCACCTCGTTGGCCGGAATTCTCCGGGGCTGCCGAGCGCGTGGACGCCTGTGCATTCATCCAGGCTGTACAGCTCACAGATGGGGATGTCCAGGCTGAGAAAGTAGAGCAGCGTGTCCATGGGGAGCCCGATCCCCGTGTTGAAGAGCTGGCGGCACTGGTCCAGGCCCAGAAACCTCCGGGCGGGGTCAAAGGTCAGCCTCCGAGCCAAGCAGGAGCACAGTGGCAGCCGCTCCTGTCTTGAGAAGCAGACGCCAGGGACCAAGGCTGGCCTTCCCGGCCCCCGCTCCGCCCTCCCAGAGGGTCCCAGAGGCGGCCCGGCACCCCGCCTCACCCCAGCATCTGCCTGGCATGTATCCGGAGCCTCAGCCGCATGGCCCACGCATCCAGCTTCCTGCGGAACCCGGAGGCGGCCAGCTGGGTAGTCCGCATCTTGTCCAGCATGCGGTCCCAGACCTGGGGCACTCCGTAGAACGTGGTGGGCCGCACCTCCCGCAGCGTGTCCAGCAGGGAGCCCTGTGCAGGACAAGAGAACAAAGAACACAGTGCAGTGGCCAGCGGGCGCCCCAAGAGCCATCTCCAGCTCCCCCAGAGTCCCATTCAGCCCACCCCTCAGCGCCCTGCCTGGCCTTAGTGGGCCTGGGGCCCAGTTCAAGTCCACATGGCCCTCAGACTGCAGGGAGTTATGGGGAGGGGAAGTACAGGAGTGGGACCACCTCATGGCAGTCCCGAGCTCCCAGCCACATGGGTGTAAATTTCAGTATTGGTGAGAAAGATGGGGCGTCCCCTCTTGTAAAGCATGACAGTCTCGGAAGCCCCCTGGGGCAGTTCTACCCTGTCCTTTAGGGTCGCTGTGTTTGTTTTTATGTTGACGCCCACCTGCTCCCAGGAAAAGGAGGGAGGGAGGGACAGACAGACAATAGTGGCGGGGGACAGAGAGATGACCTCCTGGCATTCTGAGGTGGAGACACGATTATTCCCGGTGTCTGGGAACACGGTGCACGTGTCAGAGCCTATAGGGCTGGACAGCACAGAGCACACCCACAGTGAACCAGGGACCAGCTAATGGTCACATGTCACTAGCTGGGTCTGTCACACAACGCCCCACGTGACAGTGCATTCCCAGGAAGGCAGGATCCAGGCAGTGGGGAGAATGGCACTTATTCTGTCAGTGTGAGTGTGTGCATCTATATGTCTGTGTGTGTGTGTCTGCGTGTGTGTGTGTGTGTGTGTGTGTCTGGGTGTACGTGTGTGTGGCTGGGTGTCAGTGTGTGTGTGT